CTTTGTATGAAAATAGGCAAACACCCTATGCAGTCGCCGAACTCAATGCAGCAAGGATTCACGATTCGAATGAACCATGCTGTCTTTTACTACTTAACTCGAGCTCATACGCCCTGCAATTATTTCTAGGCTAGCTTCATCTATTCAAAAGAATATTTTGCAAATTCGCACATAACTTCGACACAAGGTAGGACCCATCTCACCAGACTGCCTGTAGTACTCTGAGCTTCTGTCTGCTGGAAATGATTAACTGGAGAACACGGGACGAACCGTCCAAATGCTCTAAGTCGACTACTTTGCAGCCAGTGCAAGACGGACTGATTAGCGCTCATTCCTATTGGTAGTTGTCAAAGCCATGCCACAAATCGACGCGGCGTGATCTCCGATTGACTTCTTGCTGTCCGTACGTTGGAACAGTGGCTAACAGGCAGTAAGTAGCCCTTCATCACCCAACCATGTGGGAGAGAGAGAGAAATTTTGACGTGAGGGAAGTTGTCGGTCGTAGAGTCGTGTTCTATTAATTTGATTTACAAATCTGATGCGAAAGCGGGTACATAATCCCAGGAGGGGAAATCTACAAGGACAGGTCCCTGACGTTGAAGCGAATGCGAGACAGTAGCAGCAGTGTCTGTTAAGCGGCTAAGGCCCTATCGGGGGGAAGGGTGGGGGATGGATTAAGACGGTAGTAGGAGGGGGAAGAGAATATGTGTCTCCTTGGAGCATATAGGGATAGAGAGCTCGTGTGTGTTTGCAGTGTTGAAAGGTTCTCGAAACGCCCTGGGGTAATAAAGGAGGGGGAGGGTGCCGGTATTGGCAACTGTCGGCGTTCAGAGTCGATTTGGATCGATTAGGAGAGGGCGTGATCTGCACTGGCCGGATGTCGGGGTGATGATGTTGATGACGATGATGGCGACGGTGTTACAGTAGATACATGCGTACGTTTACAGTGTGTGGAGGCAGATGCGACTGCAACAGAACAAAGCATTATCTCACCGTGTTTTCTTTAGAGGAAATGCACCCACGAGCCGTCCCCTGCCATGTCCGTAGCCTTGGCATGACAGATGATACAATAGTTCTCACCCATATTGTTGTCCCAAAAGACTTCGCCGGTGTGCGTCTCGTACCGGATGGCGAACTGGACTTTCTCGTTGGCAACAACAGTGACGGGGAAGATGGCAGAGAAGGAAAACCGATCAGTGACACCGTCGTGGGAGTCCTGCACATAGTTGGTAGGTAGGTCACAGAAGGTGGCCCAATCATTGTAGCTTATCCGCACAGAGACGTGTTTTTCATAGCCAAGGCTCTTAACTCGGATGGTGCCTGTCAGGAGACCCCGGGAGGAATCGACTCGCGCGTTCTCCAGCGCCACATTGCACCGCAGGACCCGATTAAGAAAGTTGGAGGAGGCGCTGGGTTGAGCGAAACAGAGTTGAAATTG